TTAATCATCTCGGGTAGAGAAAGTTGTTTGATATGGTTTTTTAGTCGTTGACGATTCTTAGTTCGCCATGGATGAAGACATTGAGTTGGATTTCGGAGATTGAAAGTGCGAGAGTGGTTGAAGAAGTTGCTTAGGAGGACGTTCGTCGTCGTCCGAAAACATGCAGAAACATTAAGGAATTGAGTAAAAGAATTTGCAGACAGTGACTTCCCGGGTCACGGTACCAAAATGTGAGCTTTCTTTTTGAAATGATCTGTACCTTGTCTGCAGAGGTTAAGAGAAACTGCTCAATATTAAATGTATTTGAATAGAAATAAAAAACTACACAATGAAACAAAGAACTACTTGAAAAAAAAAGAATCCTTGCTCTAAAAAAACACACATGTATATATAACACATGGAAACAGAGAGAAAAGAGCAAAAAGAATGTTATTGCAGATAACATTCTTTCAAAAAACAAGTGTAATAAAAAAGAAAGGAAGCGAGAACGATGTGATCGCTGACACCACGCTAATTTTTTTACAGAGTTGTAGCTCAAAGAGAGTACTTCCAAATTCTAATAACCAGTGCCCCAGACAATCCATTTCTTGGCTGAAAGCCTATCCTGAAAGTCCCCACATTTATTAAAATTTTGTTTTTCGCGGGGCTACCCTAAGAAAATGAAATGGTATGGATAGTTGGAATTTTCAGGGAAGATACATCTTTCAGTGTCCCATCAATAGTGGACATTTCAGACCTATATATCATTCTTATCAAAAGTTATGAAGCGCCAAAGTTACCAAAAATGAATCTTTTCTCATATATTGAGTGCTTCATAAAATCCCAATGGCTCAATATTTTAAAGCGAAAATTTTATGGTAAATAGAATTCACCGAGATATATGGCAATGAAAAATTTCAGCTCATCTGGTTGAGCCATTCGTGAGATATCGTTGCATTAGGACCCCCATTTATATATAGGGTCATTCGTAGGCCTTTTCGTAAAATGCTCATAAAAAACCGAGAGATCAATATTTTTTTGAATCAGCTTGCGTTAAAATTCATAAAACTCTTTCCTCTACAACATTTGTTTAGATTGAGAAAAATCTGACGACCTCGATTGAGCGGGATCGGTCGTGGCTTGTGCGGAATAACTCATATATAAACGTTATGAAGAAAATTCGACTATACAGAAGCTAGTGGTAAAACTACAATAATAGATCTATAAACACATTGCACAATCATGATAGATATTAGCATTTTCTTAATACAAAGTTAACACTAATGCGAAGCCGACACCCCTAGTGAAGATCATTTAATTGAATCATTAAAAACAAAACAGGAACAACAACAAAAGAAAAAGAAACGATCTCGACCTGAACGTCCATCCCTCGATCTTAATACTACAACACTCAACAACCAAACATAATCACAAAATAACATATCATCACCACCATCTCTTTGAATCTAGGCACAAATTATACTATGGAAATTAATAAATCAATAAATGATAAATATACTTGTATTTTAACATGTAAATGTCACGGTCGGTTTCAATTGCCATTTATGACATCAGGTGTTTTTAAATTATCATCATTCTGCCTACATTTAAAAGACAAGAAATGCATAAAACGTTCGAAGATGGTTAGTCTTTTTCATATTAGAAATTACAATTATCTGGAATTCTTTAAATTTAGGAATATGATAAAGAAAATAATATAGATAATGACAGAAATTCATCTGCAAGTCAACCAATGGCACCAAATCATTCTCGTAAGTCATCAAGTGTCGAATCGAAAAAAGATAAAGCATCGACACATACAACAAAACGATTTCGATCACCATCAACACAAGGATCGTCAAACACTAGTAACACCATAACCAAAAACAATCGACCATTATCAAAAAATAGTACAAATGCATCTCATCTATAGACAATTCATGATATCAATATCAATTTGTATGTCGATTCGTACTTGTATTTCACCTAAACATGAAAATATAACTAGAATCATTTTATTTTTGTATTGGATTTTATATTAGATTGTTGTTTTATTTTCTGTTTGTATTAAACGTTACTTTTTTCTTGGGTAACGGAGAAATCTCTCTGTTTCTTTCTCTCTTAATGGTGTTGATTTTATATATAATGAGATGTAAATAACTCAGGATATATTTTTGTGTCTTCAATGAAATTATTATTTATTATTGTATCTATATTGATTTAGAATAAAGAACTTTTGAACTCGTACTGAAAAAAATGATTTATATGCTTGATTTCAACTTAATGAATTAACAGATGATATGATGAATTTAAGTCATGATAAATTTTACGAATTTTTAGAAAGTGTTTTAAATAAAGATTTATGTGAACTTTTTCGAGTTCAAACTATTCGAGATATGTCTTCTTTATCATCCATAACAGTAAATGATTTAATCCAAATACTTAGTTTTCATATTACTGAATTAAATTCTCTAAAAAAAGAACTTGGTTTTGTATCAGCTGATGGAAATTTTCATCTTCGACTTGGTTTTCGAAATTTACTCGATCGTTTACTATCATTGGTTAAATCAAAGAAAAACTGGGTGTGGGTGTGGGTGTGGGGTGCGGGTATCACTGCTCTCCTTACTCATACCTACACCCACACCCACACCTACACCCTCAAAATAAATGAAAAGAAACTTATTTATGAGAGTGAAAATGAGAATCGATTTTCGATTTTATCGAAAATGCTCAGATAACGAAATCGTTCTCGATTGTCGAGAAAAGCCTATGTAAATTCTGTATATAATAATTCAACATAATGATACAGTTGGTCAGAAGAAGAAAAAAATAGTTTTTGTTCAGCAAAACGGTAAGTAAAAGACGGGTAAGCGTTTGTTGTTCGTTGCAATACTATTGATTTCATATATTAACCAATTATATTTCAACGATATTTTATCCATTTAATGTAAAACATGCATATATGTTGATCAAGAAATCAGCGTCAAGCTTCAAAACTGGCGGTCTGTTTTGAAGCGTACTTAATAATAGTAATGAAAGTAACTGCGTGCTCTTGCTTTATCAAAAGTCATCTGTCTTATGAAAGAATTATCAATAACTAAAATACAAAGTCTACAATTCAAAATTGCGGCAAAATAAGTTTTCAATGGCACGAAAATCTGAAATATTATTATATCAACATGTATGGCATTGTATGTGGAGCGCAAGTCACTTTATTCCTATATGCCTCAACGCTCTATAAAAATCAACGTTCACAAAACAATTTAAGATTACAGTGTTCATCCTACAGAAATTTATGGACACTTCTGTTGCCTGTTTTTCAAATGCAGTAAAATCTTGTTACAATCTGGTTCTAAGTTCATTTAATAGAGTTCATTTTTTTGTACAAAGTTGTCGATTGATTGTTTAGTTCGATTTCTTTTGTCGACGAAAAGGTTCAATAATAGCCACTTTTTCAATAGTTAATTCTACTACCAATGCTTCTACTTGGCAGATATCAATTCATTTGTTTTGAAGTTCGTAGTCATCAAGACTGATTGTTATACTTATCTACTTGGCTTCACTACATAAAAAATTGTGTGTACTCTATTTCAAGAATATTTTCAAGGTTCTAGATGTTATTGTGTACGAGAAACAAACTTCAAACGAACGTATGATATTTTGGTGAAATGTATTTCAGAAAGTCATGTTTTCAAAAATCAGACTCATCCTATAGAATGCTGATTCACATATGCTAGAACATATCAAACTGAAAAGAAATAATGCTATAGGTTAGCCTTTGAAAGAATTATCTTGGTATTTCCTCAGTTTCCATTTCAAAGCTTCCTCTTCTCGTTCGAGTTTTGATGTCAGAATTTTGAAAATTATATCGGTAAAACTTGAATACTACTTAGAATGTTGTAGCACACATGAAATTTCAGATGAATCGTGTACGTCAAAGAGGACTAATTTGAGAAATTTTCAAAAAAATTTGTTGAAAATTAATTTTTTATTAAATGAATTCAAAACTAGATTTTTGCTTCAAGAGTTCTACAGTCGTCTGATGGCACGTGACGATCATATATCTCTTCCCAAGTACTTAAGATAACCAATCGTATGTGTCTTGACTACTCCTTGAATTGTTTCCTTGGAAAGTTGTCGAAACAGGTTAAAATACATCATGTATGAGAATCTGACGAATCAAAACATTCCTCATTGGCACACAATTTGTGAGATTAGTTAAACAATGACATCAATACTTACCTTCATAGATGAATGAGATTATCCAATAAAACAAAAAGAATTTGGAAGACAATCTGCACATATGCATAGCAAAAATATTTTTTGATAGTAAATTCTGAGTTTTTGCCAGCATCAGTAATTTTATGCGTGTGCCTCATCACGTCTGTGTCAGTGACTTAAAGATTTTGGCTTTGATCTTGTCCATCTTTAATGTATCGATGAGGTCATAGATTATGCTGAAATGAAGTATTTAATTCGCAACAGAGATTTAAGTTTTAAGTTCATTTTTCCATAAATCCAGAAGCATAATACGTTTCCAAGAGTAGAGATAACGCTTGTAATTATCAATGAAGAAGGATATGCAATTACGAAAATAAGGTCTGATAAAAAAAGCATCGACATTTCCCTAGTGATTGATAAATTGAGGATGAAATGATAACCAACTGATGATGCCATTGATGAATAATCTGACGGTTTGTTCGCCTATGACATAGGCAAAATTTTGACATAACGTTTGTGTTT